CTATAAAGCTGGTTACTTCCTCTAAAAATTCAGATGATACACAAACTCTGTAAAATATGAAATTATTTTCCTACTTTCTTTTTTAAATAAACCAATTTAACAAGTCGAGTATAATTTTCTTTTACTTTATTTTAAATTGTATTATTTTTGTGAATATTTTTACAAATCAATCGTTTATTATCAAATCTTTTCTTTTTAATGTGTTAAGAACGGCTTATAATCAATTTATCATTCAAACTATATTTTTATTAATTGTAGCAATTATTCTCAGCTTCATCAATCTCATTTAATAAATTATTGTGTTCTTTTCAAATGTATGGAGAAGAATTTTCAAAATCTCAAAGCTGATCATCCTTTTCGGGCTTTAATAGAATAGATCATAACATACATATAGAATGAATAATAATAAATATACTTACGAGTAGTTTATTAATCACTTAGTGGTGGTTTAAAATGAAATTAATTAAATTCTTCGTCAATTTCTTCTTCTTCTTTAAACTTTGAATCTTCTTTCAAAAGCCTTTAAATTAAAAATTGTAATCGTCATTGTTAATACTTGCAATTTCCCATGTTCAAGTTGCATTTGTCTATATGTTTAATTTTTGGGCAAGTTGTCAACTCCATAAATTGAAAGATTACTCAATACCACTAGAAATTTTGATTTCATAATTTATTACCGTTAAATTCTTCTTGAGAATGAAATTTGCTATAATCAAAATTACTATTTTTTGATATTGTTTGAACTTGGAGAGTTTCAACTTTTCATCAATTCTTTTTTACGCGTGATATTCAATTAATTAATTTGATAATTTTAAATTAAAATTATCAGTTAATATTTGAATTCTTATGGAACAGAGCTCAATACAAGATCATGGATATGTTGTTTCGATTTTGACTTGTTTCCAATTTATGCTATCCGTGTTTTGGATATCGAACGGGTAGTTGATGTTCCCTGCGATGTTAGTTTAAGAGAAATGGTTAATATAAAAACGTGTCAAATAAAAATTCTTTTGAGATTGTAATTCGTAAAGAACCCTTACTCTTTATTATTTGGTCTAAAAGTAGGTATTTATTAAAAACAATTAAGAATAATTGAGAAGATATTTT